CATTGGTTTGAGTTTCTAGATGAATTTGTTTCAGAAGTTGTTTCGTCAGGCAAAATATTTCTTATAAAGTCTACTTGTTGAGCTTTATTTTGATTTTGTCTATAAGCAAGACCACCCGTTGTTCTAGCTCTTTTTGGCGGCATTAAAAAATCTTCTGCTAGATGAACGTCTGTTAACTGATATGATTTAATGTGGTAACTAGTAATGTCACCGTAATGAGTATAACTCATTGCAGTGACACAGTCGCGGTGACTAGTAATGTGACATTGCGATGACTAAAAAATGTCACTGCAATGAGTTATACTCATTGCAGTGACATTACTAATTTGAAGTATGCAATAAAATTTGAAGTAAACAATAAAATACGGATGCTTAATGCATCAAATAAGCTACATTACTAGTCACCGCAATGAGTTATACTCATTACGGTGTTACGAGTAAACTCGTACTTCGGCACTGGAGAAAAAAATTTCTTCTACATTGCCAAAGTACGAGTATACTCGTAGTGCTTATTTTTTGTCAGTTATATTCAGAATAAAAAATACTATAAAATTATTTTAGATTAAAAATATTTTATTTATTGAAATGTTGATATCTAACCTTGGCAATGAGAATGAAACCGCGCAAAACAGCCTCAGCAAAAATTAAACATTGCAGACATAATGGCCCGGGAAAATTTTAAAGTATAGTTTAAAATAGCTCGGTAGCGAACGTGTTAACTAGATAAAGATTTATAATAACAAAAAAAAAAAAAATGGGGTAATCGCGGCTTTGAATGAAAACGAAGATAAAAAATGACAAAAAAAAAAATCATATTTCGCATATTTTGAAGCATGATATTTAGACAAAGAAAAAAACTTCGTTTACCAATTTTATTAATTTTTGGTCTGAACTAGCCAATAAACAATAATCAAGTGGAATGTTGTAAAGTATTTACTTTTCTTTTTTTTCGAGTTCGAAAATGCCTTCGACATTGTTAGGTCAATATTTCTAAAAGTTTAGTCAAACTTTGACATCTAATATCTAAAGAACCAATTGTCCAGTGGGCACGGACGTAAAAAAGACGTCTTTTAAACGTTTCATACACGTTTTGGACGTCTAATGAACGTCTTTTGAACGTTTTGGACGTCTTTCGAACGTTCAAAATACGTCTTTTTTTGGTCACTGGGTGATATTTTTTTAAAAATTTATGATGGAAAGGCTCAGCACAGAAAAAGAGCTAAAATTGTTCAATTTTATTTTGAAACTCAGCATTCCATTATCATCATATTGAAACTTCTTTTATGTTTGAAATGCAGCATTTTTAGCAACTTGAGGCTGTCTGTGAGTTTCTGCTAGCTAGAAGACCTTCTGCCATTCAAATGCCGCTTATATAAGCAGTATTTCAAATAGACGACATTCTCAGGAGTTGTTGATGTCTTGGTGGTGTTTGCAAAGAATTATACATATGTTTCACTTTTTTCCATATATGATTTACAAATTAAAACGAAGTGATACACAAATACTTGTTTAATATAGTCAACATTTTCAACGAGTCTAGAAAATAACAAGTTTATTCACAAACTCATAATGAATGATGTTCATTTTCACCTCAATGGTTACATGAATAAACAAAATTGAAGAATATGGGGGACTCAAAATCCAACAATAATTATTTAAGATCAGCAATTATTCTTAGATGTTTATGATGTGAAATAACTTCAGAGAAAACCATTGGACCATTTTTATTTAAAAAAAAAGGAAACATGTTTTAACTAATGTAAATTACATTTAATATCATGTCAACAATTTAACATTTTTTCAAACCAGAGTTAGAGAACAATCCAGAAATGTGGTTTTGAAAATATAGAGCCTCAGTTCACACAACTTGTCCAACTATGGCTCTCCTGAATGAAATATTCAGTGAATGAGTAATGTTAAGTTTTTCTGATTTTAACTTACCATCCTGTTTAACCAATTTAACGGCTCCTGATTTTTATTTAAGCTATGGTATATGTTCATAAACCAAGAACAATCCCAAGCCCAATTTAGCCTGAAAAAAAAAACAAATGGACATCATTTAAAAGATATTATCTTTAAAACACATTGTAAACATGTTTCCAAACTATATTCCAAGTTTTGAATAAATTCCAACTTTAGATAAAATCAGAAAGAAAGAAGTTATTCATTAAAGAAATCATAATTCTGTATAAAAAAAGGGAGTACCATTGAAAAAATAGCTCAAATATGACAACAGTTTTCTATAGAAAAACAACTAAAAAGTTTATAAAGGTAGAAAATAGAATTAGTGCACGATTTAATGGAATAGAGCAAAATAAATAAACTTTAGCAGATGCTATCTTTACAATGAATTTATGGTTTTCGTGAGATGTCAGAGTGAAAGATAATCCAAAAAGGCACAAATGTTCATTTATTTATATAAAAAAATCAAAAATATTGTTATAGTTATTAGCTATCAAAAGAAAGATGATTCAAACTTAGCTGCCCATAAGTTATCAAACTGGTTATTTTTTTCATCATATTTTGACTTTTAGTTTAATGGTTTTAAATTTTAAGTCAAATTTAAAACCATTAAACTGAATTTTAGAACTGTATCTTTATTATGAGATAACAGAAAGAGTTGCATGAGTAAAATTAAGCAGGAAACAATGTAACAATATTTACTTCTATGCTATTTAATGAAGAAGGTTAAAAAAAAAAAAATTTGTTGAAACATTTTTTTTAACCTTTACTCAAAGTAAAACCATTAACAGGAGGAATCAACAATTCTCCAAACTATTTCTTGAACTGTAATACATCCATTTCTGAAAAGCTATTTTTTAAAGTGGTTTCAAAGGGAGTTATTACAATTAGAAATACTAATTGACTTTTTTGAAAATTGCTGTTACAACTAATATAACTTATTAACTAATATAACAGAGACTAAAGTATTTAAGTATGTGTTTTTTTTTTTGTCTTTCTATGAAAACTAAATAAATGATAAAAACTACCACCTTTAAAGCTAATATTTGTTCTAAAGGTTTTCAATGCTGGATAATACCTAATGTTGTGTCTAACATTAAACTGTGTGGCACTAAATGGATAAAGAATTGATGTTTAAAGAAATGCTTATATCTTTTTCTAATATAATTATTTGCACATCTTTTTTAACTGTTTTAATCTGATTTTCATGTGTCATTTAAAAGTTATTGTGTTCTAGATCAGCCTGATGTTCATCAATATAATGGAATATTTATTATATATAATATATATATATATATATATACCACCAATATTTGAAATATTTTGTGTTGTATCAAAAAAAAAGGTTAGAATGAAAAAGAGGTTATGGGGCGATTCCGTGTGAAAACATCCAGGAAATGCAACCTGAAAATTTTATCATCTAATTTTAATTGGTTCCTAAGATATAGCTATTTTAAGTTTGCCTCCAACCAACAAAAATCCACCATTTTTAAAAATGGTTTTGGTCCTAGTTTCTGTCATATGTGTGTTGGAAAGCTGAAAATTTGTGCCTTTTACATTTTTTGGACCAACAAATCCAATGAAACAACTTAAAATATTTAAAAAGGAACACAACACCTAAATTTAAACGTTTACCACAATTTTACTGAGGTGAGTCCGATTGATTTTTTTTTAAATTTGTCCTGAATAGTTAAGTTATATTTATTATAAAGAATGTTTTTAATATCTGTTTTAGAAAAGAGTGGTCTTTTCTAAAACAGAAATAAAAACATGGTCAAATCTACTTGATTTTAGTGCTTAATTTGACAGTTTTGTAACTGAAACAGTTTTGGCTATATCTAAATATTCTTTTAGATGTTGCTGACTTGTTGTTTCTGTTTTTTAAGTAGTTTCATTATTTAGAAATGTTTATAACGTTGTAAAACTGCATCTGAACAACGCAACAATATAGTAGAACAAGACAAAAAAAAAAAAAAGTTCAATGCCAATCAACATGAACAGAATGCTTTCAGAGAAAAAACTATGAAACAACATTAATATACTAAAAACTAACAACTCTCAAAAAAAAGACCTAACTGTAATGGCCTAATTTGGTTCTAAACTTTATTATACTTACAAATCATAAGTGAGAAAAAAACACAACTATTTATAAGAAAACTAAAATCGTAGTTAATGGTGAATGGAGAACTATTCCACCAAAAAAGTCTTAAATATTAAAAATTTTACTAATATAATAAACTGTTGCACAGCTGAGAAAGTGTTTTGCCAATTTATCTATTATTCTGGCAAAATGCAGTAGCTGTGGGTAAACCTATGTATTTATTTATTCAACTTAATGTTTTTCAAAATAGTAAAAAAACTATGTAATAAGACCAGGGAATATCCATCTTATAATTTAATAACCTTAACTACAAGAGATCATTATGTTTCATTGTAAATTTTTAAAAAATCTAAAGAAATATTCTTTCTAATTAGATTGGGTACACACTAAAAAAATATAGAAATAACCTTAAGAGTATATCACATATCCTACCTTTGGGGTATATCACATATTCTACCTCTTAAGGTGAAAAGTTTTACCCTCCATGTGAGAATATTATACACTTAAGGTAGCAAATTACACTGGTATGACCATTTTTGGTATAATTTTTAACCTTAAAGTTATAATTTTCTACCTTAAAGAAGTAGGATATGTGATATGCCCTAAAGCTAGAAGTTAATTAGAAATAGGAATAGCTAAGCCTAAAGCATTTGTTAAATCTAAGACATGTAAAGACTTCAATCATAGTTCTAACATAAATTGCCTGTCCAAGCCCAGCCTAACTAGTTTCCATACTTTTTTGTACAGTTATTATTACATAAAAGTATATAAATATTTTTCACTGGGGTGAGTAATTCAAACCATATTATTTTAAAAAATTTTAATTTGATTTTAATTTATTGTAAAAATAAAATTATTCATTCTGTTTCAATTTTATTTATTTTTAAATCAGTTCTTTTAAAAGAATATGTATTTTTCAAACTTTTTATTTGTTCAGTATGTGACCTTCAACCAGGAATCTCGAAATGTGATGTCCAAGGAGTTTCAGAATGTGACCTTCAACGAAGAGTTTCAGTCATCATTGATTCTACGGCTGAAATTTCAAACAAAGATTTCGATATTCAGATTGAAATTGTTAAACTACTTTTTCCAAAATTTAATATTGGTAGACTTTTGTTTAGTGCTCAGGTGTATTATGATAAATGTTCAGAATTACCATCAGCGTATGAAGAAGGTTTTTATAAAATAAAAACAGACTTTCAATCTAGAATTAGTTTGTTGCAGTATCGTAAATCAGACGCTAAATTCAATTTAAATTGCTCTCTTCAAATTTATGAAAATATTGAAAATTTATTACCTGTAAGTTCATCAGAAAATTTTGGAATAATTTTAACTAAGCATGTAAAAATTCCTGAGAGTGCAATATATGATGGTATCTACTACACTGCTCTACTATATAAGTCACCAAGAGAACCCTTTTTAAGACAGATCTCAAAAAAATCATCTGATATTCCAGTTCTTATTACAGAGTTAATGGACAGTATTTGCCCTAAAACTACTACAGATTTAATAAAAATAATTTTTTCTACAACAGCTTTAAAGCAAGAATTTTCAGAATTGGAATTAGCTAAAAGCACTATAAATTTGAAAGCTGAATCTTTATTGAGACATTATGATACTTTGACATCTACATTTAAAGAAAATAAACATTCCGAAGCAACCTTAATCCTCAAAAGTTCTTTTGAAAAAAGAATTACATATTCAATTAATACACACTCAGTTTCAGAATTCAACTCAACTGAAATTTTTTTGCTAAATTCATTATTTCCAAATTTTTCTTCTTACCTACAACCAGGTAGCACAATTTTAGATCGGCCTTTATTAACCACAATGTTGGATTCATCATTATTAAACAGTGTTTATGAAAAAAAACCAATTAATAAAACAAATAACCAAGAATTATTTGAAACAATAAAAGACTTGTATCAAACAATTTTTAAATCCTCAACAATAATTCGATTCAAACAAATTTTAGCAACTAGTTTATATCCCAGTAATTCAAAAAATATGGAAAGTAAAAACCAGACTGATTTGTTTTCTTTAAATACTGATTTTCAAAGATACAACAAATTAGTTACTCAAACCATGTATAAACAAACTGTTGATACTAGTGAAATGATTACTAATGAAGATAGTAGCACTATGGTATTTGAGGTTGACAGTCATATTGATTTATCTTCATTCCAAATGTATGCATCAACTTACTCTCTTATGTTTACATCAACCCTCAATCAAATATATAAATCTTCCTTTTCATATTCACCAAGCTTCTCTCAAATATTTACAAAACATTCTTATATTCAAAATACTGATAATATTGAGACGCCTTTGTTTACTAATTCAAAAATTTTAATGAATACAGATAGCCCACAGATAATCTTCTCTCAGATGTACACAGAATATTTTGGTACTAAAAATACTGATAATAAAAAAACACCTTTGCTTACCAGTTTTTCATTTTTTTCAAGTAGTTTTGTAAGTTCAAATGTCTTAAGCTCGTCCTTTTCTCAGACATATACAATATTTTCTGATGATAAAAATATTGAAAGTTCAAAAACAGTTTTGTTTACAAGTTTTTTAATGTATTCAAGTGTTTTACTAAACTCTGAAACCACACCCAAAATTCAAAGCACTACTGAGTGGCTTCAAATTTCCCCAATAAATTATGTTAGTAAACTGGAAAAAAGTTCAATTCAAAGCATAAACAGTTTTTCATTGCCTATTACTTCAACAATAAATCCTTCTTTTTCTACAAAAAAATATGCTTTTTCTCAAGATTTTTCAACTAGAAGAAATCAATCATACATTAATAAACTATTTACAACAAAGTCCACTATTAATTTGACAGGTAATTTTAATTTATTTTGTCATAAATATGTTTTATTTTATAATATTGATGCAAAAACATGAAAAATGTTCTGTTTTTTCAATTGCTTTTTTTTAAGAAGCTTAATTTATTTTGATAAATTATGTTAAAATAATTTTGTAATTGTAAATAAATAAATTTTCAATAGTATACTATGTAAGTGTAGTTTGTTATAGTGTAAATTTGTGATAGTGTACTGTTATCATAATTATTATTATTATTATTATTATTATTTTTGATAATATTATTACTACTGGGATATTAGATTTAATAAAAAAACTGATGTCTTATTGTTACGTGATGATAACAATTGAAAGATAAAGCTCAAACTCAGGGTTTGGGCTAGGGCAGGCTATCATAATGCCTAACTTTAACCTTTTCCCAAATGTTTGTACACTCCCTGCATGTTCTCCTTACTTAAGCCAGTCTCTGCATATTTTTCCTACTTAAGTCTGTTGTTGTATGTATACTCCCTGCATGCTGTCATTTGATATATGCGTTGTAAATCATGGTGGAAAAAGTCATAAAAAAAACATTTCAAGCAGTAAAATAGCGAACTTCACAAGACAAAATAACAATTCAGATTTTACTATTAAAAAGAAAATTTTGTTAGAATATAATTTACATTTCAACTTTACCAATATAGATTTTTGGTTCTAATTTTATGTTACTACTATCTACGTCTAGTTAATTTATATTTTATGTATAGTTAAAACTCAGAAATTATAAAAAATTATTAATTCTATTGAATATAAATATTGTTTGTTATAAAATTAATAATTATACCCCCCCCCCCCATCTTCAAATATATATTAACTTACAAAGTTTTGAAAATTCAGCTTTAAGATATTCATGTTTTTTCATTATTATTTTTTTAATTACTACTTTATACCACCTATATACTATTACTTAGTTACACAACCTACTTTTATTGAAACAAACTCTTTCCAGAACAAACCCTTGAATATTTATCACATTATTAAAAACCTCTGCAATTACCTTTTTGTTTATTTGTCTACTAGATGTTTGAGAAAGTTTTGTTAATATTTAACTTTCTTTTCTTAGTTTGTGTTACTGAATTTTCTCTTGAGAGTATGAGATTTTTTTCATATTTTTACAACATTTTTAATATTTTGACATGGTTTGAGTCATAATTTATCTTTTTTCAAATATTTGGTTAAAGCAGTTTTACTTTCACTGCTGCTATTTCAAAACTGAACATTTATGTAACAGCTTTTATTTTATTAGTTTTATATTTTCCACCTGTTTTTTTTTTGAATAAAACTTAAGAGGTGATTATGGAGTTAGGCTGTAAACATTTTTTTTTTCTTGGAGTTCCATTTCTTCTGTATCACAATGTTTCCAGTTTTTTTGGTAACTAGTGCAGATTTTTTGACAAAGAATTAAACCAATTTTTTTTTTGGCATCTAAAAGATTAGTAAACAAATACATTGTTTGAAATTTATTTATTACCAAAGGTATTGGTAAATCTTAAAACTGAGTATAAACATTTTTGTTATAAAAATGTTGATGATTGTAAACAACTTCTTTGGAGTGTTTACAAATAACTTCTGAGGACTTTAATTTTTAAATACAGAAGGTTTGGTTTTGTTTAGAAAGTTTTTAAAACATTAACTATATTTAGACTTACTAAATTTAATAAGATTGCTCATTCAGTAAGAGTACAGCATGGAAATATAGGTGTGGGTCAGCATAGTTTCAGGTGAGAGGACTATTTATGATGATGTTTTGAGCATTATTTATGATAATGTTAAGATAAACTGATTTCCGAGTAGGTTTTGCTCTATGCTTATTCAAAAGCATTAGAGTCAAAATTTTTTTGAAGTTTCATTAAATAGAAAAAAATTAGAGCAATCAATATTTACTGTGTATAAGTTTTTTTTGTTACATTTAAGCTTTTTAATTTATTTAAAGTTATTTTTAAATATTATTTAAATGTCTTAAATGTTTAATATTTTTGCAGTCAATCATTTGCATCTAATGTAATTGTTATTAATATTATTGAAGTTAAATATGTCACTGGAATATTTGACAAAATGTTAACTATTTTATGCAAAAAAGTGAACTTTATAGATAATAAATGATTACAATAATATTAAAACAAATGAGATTCACTTTGCTACAATATGATTTTTTTTTTAACTGCAAAATTTAGTAAGCTCTTCAGCCATGTTAGAAAATATTGTCTGGAAAAATGTTTTCATAAAGAGTAAGTATTTTTATTAATATTTTTTGTTTATCTTTGCTTTTGTCATGTAATAAAATTTTATTATTTTTATTTAAATTATATTTAATTCAATTTATAATTAATGTTATAGAAATCAATGATTTCATAGAAAGAAAGGCCACAATTTTGCAGCTACAAGATCAAGATTGGATCCATGTAAATTAACAGTTAATTAACAAGTTGTGATGTTTTTTTTTAAGCATAATGCTAATGGTTCCTTGTGTGATTTGGATGGTTGTCCATTTTCCTTTTTTTTTTTTTTTTTTTGAATTAAAAAGAATTTTTTAAACCTGTTTTGTAGATCAACTATTTTAGTGTGATGCTACCTCTAGGAAACCATTCAACAACCTTATTCTTTCCTTAACCAAAATTATACTAGAAGTTTCTCAGGAGTGTTTTTCTTCTTATAGAAGAAATGACTTCACAATGGCTCAGGAGCTTCACTTGCCTTGAATAATGTTAATAAAGTATTATTATAATATAATAGTAAAATAAATATTTACAAATTTATTATATTAGATCAGTAATAACGTAGTGAGCTGTTTTCAAATGATTACATAAAGTTAAGATCATCATTAGGAAAACAAAATTTTGCACAATATTTTGTTTGTGAATTCTTCACATAATTGTAATTGTGCTGAAAACTCTAATTAAAGCCTTTAAAAGTTTTAATACTCTGTTCAATAAATTGTTTAAAAATTTAAAATTGAGCTTTTAAAAGTTTTAGTAGTGTGTTCAATAAATTTTTAAAATGTTCTTTATGTTTGTTAAATTCTTGAAACATTATTTATAAAGTATCTTTTTAAATTTTTTTTTAGTTTTAGCTTTCATTATAGTATTCATGTCATATAATTAAAAATGAGTTCATAAATCAATAATACTGATCCATTTTAGGAATTTGTTAAGAATGCTTCAACAATACTTACAGATGTTGGAAATTTTAATAATACAGAGGTAAATAACAATTTTTTAATTTAAACTTGAGTTTTTTTTTTAATAATACAATGTTAAACAATTTTTTTATTTAAACTTTTTTTCAATAATACAAGGGAAAATAACTTTTTTTTTTTTAATTTAAACTCAATTTTTTTCAATAATACAAGGGTAATTAAAGTTTTTTATTTAGAATAACTTTTTAAACACACTAAAAAAACTAAAGTTAATACCCTGAAACTCAAACCTCCGAGGGACCTCATGTGGTTGGTAAAGTATAAACATTAAAAATAAACCATTGTACTAAAAAATTGTGAAAAATGTTTCAGTAAAAGAAGTTACTTCTTGTATTCATTCTGTACACTCAAAAAATGTTATTTTTCTGTACAGAATGAATACAAATGTTTTTTTTCTGTACACTCAAAAAATGTTATTTTTCTGTACACTCAAAAAATGTTATTTTTTTTTGAGTGTACAGAATTTAAATCTTAAAAATAATTGTTTTTTTAATGTGATTTACTTTGTAACAGTTTTATTATAACAATATTTTACATCTGATAACAATCTAATCAGATCTAAATACAATCAAAAAATATAGAAAATATTACTGTTATTATATAAAATGACTTCTAAAAAAAAAAAATTTAATCATGTTATTTTGATTTCTTAACTGCTGTGCACTTGACTATCTCAATACATAATGCTGTGCACTTGACTATCTTACCCATACATAATCCTGTGCACTTCACTATCTTAATACATAATGCTGTGCCCTTGACTATCTTACCCATACATAATGATGTGCACTTGACTATCTTAATACATAATGCTGTGCCCTTGACTATCTACCCATACATAATGCTGTGCACTTGACTATCTTAATACATAATGCTGTGCCCTTGACTATCTTAATACATAATGCTGTGCACTTGACTATCTTAACCTGGAATTGAATAGTTATTACAAGTTATAATCAATGACTTTTTTTAATATGTAGAAAACATTAAAAAAAAAATTTTCAATCTTTTACTTTTAACCCTTTCACTCCTGGTGATCTGCACTACAGTGCATAAAAAATATTTCCTGGTGATATTCACCACTGTACTTATCAACAGTTTTGTGAACTAAGCTAATTTATCATGTAGAAGTGAACTAAGCTAATTAATCGTGAAGAAGTGAACTAAACTAGTTTATCATGTAGAAGTGAACTAGACTAATTTATTATGTAGAAGTGAACTGAGCTAATGTATCATGAAGAAGTGAACTGAGCTAATTTATCATGTAGAAGTGAACTAAACTAGTTTATCATGTAGACATGAACTAGACTAATTCATTATGTAGAAGTGAGTTAAGCTAATTTATCATGTAGAAGTGAACTAAGCTAATTTTTACTGAGGAATTATTTGTGTTTAAATTTGCATGCCATTTATTCTGCGATTTATCAATACAATAAAAATTCAAAAAAAAAAAAAAAAAAAAAAAGATTTTCATAAAGAATAAACATTAACATTAAAAAAGAGTTTGAAATAAAAAGATTATCATATTATAACAAGTTGATTAAACAAAGTCAAAAAGAGAACATTTTTACTCTATAAACTTGGTTTTATTTTTTTACTCTAGAAACTTCTAAAAATTTGGTTTTAAATGGCAGTGAATGGGTAAATTGATTATTTTAGATTATTAATGAATCAAATGAGTTGATTGAATATATTGAAGATGTTTTGATGTCAATAGGAACAAATTTTCCTATAGGAAGCAATTTGACTTATGAAACAAATGAAATAGGTAGTTTTTCTGAAATTTTTGCCAAATTATTTGTTTAAAATAATAGTTTCTAATTTTTTATGTTGTATCTGAAGATTTTAAGTTGTGTTTAATAGAAAACTTTTTCTCAAAGTACCAAAATATTACTTATTTTTAGCATTTGAGATAAGCTTAGTGAAACCTGCTTTATTCGCAGGATACATCTTTAAGAGGAAAAATGAAACCCTTCAATTACCTTATGATCTTTTCCACAATTTATCAGCAGGTTTTTTTTAATTTAATGAAATTTTTTTATTGTTGGCAAAGTTAATAATTTTACTTATAGAAAATTTATAAAAATCTTTTGTAAAGCATTTCATAAATATTATTACAGAAATCTTTATGATAATTAGTTTTTAGAGAATATTTTTAATTTTATTAAAGTAAACATTAACTATTACAAAACTTCCATTTTAGATAAAATAGTAATTGTAGCAATGACATACAAACGACTTCCATCTATGATTAGCAAAAGGTAAAATAAATATTGTTTAGATTATTTTTTTGCTACATTAAATTCTTGTTTTTTTTCTAAATTAAACCCCTTTTTTTTGCTACATTAAATTGCATTAAAGTATTTTATAATTTTTGAATAAGTTGCAAAAAATTGTGTTGTCTACAGGCTCAAATCTTTGTGTTTTTATTTCTGTTGATTTCCTTTAAAAAAAAAGATTACATTTTTTTTGTAGAGAAAACATCTGGTATAATGAGCAAGTAATCTCAATATCCACAAGCGCTCTTATTCAAACACCTTTTAAAACACCATTGTTTTATAAACTGCAGATTGAAGGGGAAAAATGGACAGACTTTCTCTGTGTTTACTGGAACAAAAGGTATATTTCATATTTATGTTTTTAGAGTAAAAAACTATATGAAATGGTTTGTAAGAAAAATTTTTTTAAGTTGTTTTAATTTAAACATTTAAATTTTGTACATGTGGTTGAAAACAAAGTAATGTTACACTGGAAATATTTTGGTCTCATTCTATTCTCATTCCCTAACTGTTCATTAAGTTACTTTGAGACTAGACCACTTACTTAAAATAAGTTTATGTTAAATGTTTGGTAATCTATTATGTCAACTTTAATAAATTATTAACAACTTTTAGAAAATAATTTTTTTTTACAGCAATTGTTGCAGTGCACAAATTTATATAAAAAATGTTATAATTTATGTATTAAAATTAACTATTAATAATATCAATAAATGTTTATATAATTTGATAAGATATGTGAATATCTTATCAAACCAACGATATGTGTACCAACCAAATAATTTTTGCATAACTCATGTAAATTTGTTATATATCTTACCAACCAGTCCTTTTTATTAAAATTAATAAAAATTAAAAAAAGTTTTTTTTTTGCTTTTATTTTCAGGTTTTTTTATTTTCTTATAAATTTTTTTTTTTTCCAGTATGATTTTTTCAGAGCATTTTTAAAATGGGTCAATTAACAAAACATGCAAAGAGCCAAAGTCAGGTTTTCAGAACAAAATACTATATGTGTGGTCAGAAAAGGCGTGCAACTGCATGTGTCCTATCAGAAGGCCTGTCAACCAAACAATTTTTTGCATAACTTATGTAAATATGTTTGTATATCTTACCAAACAAGGTTACATAATGTTCACATATCTTACCAAACATTGTTACATAATGTTTACATATCTTACCAAACTAAAATTAACTTGAAAATATATTATGTTCACATAATGTTTAACTGATTTCAGTCTCTGACTTTAAGGCGTCTGTGTCCTCTGACCCAGTTGTTCTCCCAGTAGTTTTTTTTCAACTATATATTTATTTACATATTTTATTTGTAAATGTATGCTATATTTTTAAAATGATCTTATTTCAATTTTAAAATTATCTTTTTTAAAAGTGACTGGAGTTCAAATGGTTGTGAATTATCTCAAATTAACCATACACTTGTTAGTTGTCAATGTAATCACATGACATCATTTTCTATTTTGTTACAAATCAAAAGTCATGAGGTTTTTGTTTTTTTTTGATCTTTTATATTATAGTTAATTTAGGATTGCTACTCATTTTTTGATGATTTTTTAAACAAATTATTTTGAGTATGTGATGATTTAGGTTTCAAAAACAAATCAATTTATTTTGAGTATGATTACTTATATTGGTTGTGGAGCTTCCATTATTGGTTGTTTGTCTCTTATACTCATATACTTGATGTGTGGGTAAAACATATTTATGTAAATTTTTTTATAAAATAATTTTATTTTGTATTAAATAATTATTTCTAATTTATTCAATTTTTTTTTCTTTTTATATTTTGTTCTTTATTTTCTTAAAATATTTTTTTATTTAAATTATTTTAGTCGATTAGCTATAATTGATCGAAATATTGTGCACATCAATCTTGCTATTGCCATTACACTATCTAACAGTTTGTTTTTAACTGCAGATTCTGTTTTTAAGTACAAGGTGTGTACATTTTTTTATGTAAATAAAAAATCTAATTGAATCTTACTGTACCATAAAACAAAAAGATTACTGTATAATAGTAATTTTACTGTTATACAGTAAGACACAAAAAGATTACTGTTATACAGTAAGATACAGAAAGATTACTGTTATACAGTAAGATACAGAAAGATTACTGTTATACAGTAAGACACAAAAAGATTACTGTTATACAGTAAGATACAGAAAGATTACTGTTATACAGTAAGATACAGAAAGATTACTGTTATACAGTAAGACACAAAAAGATTACTGTTATACAGTAAGATACAGAAAGATTACTGTTATACAGTAAGATACAGAAAGATTACTGTTATACAGTAAGATACAGAAAGATTACTGTTATACAGTAAGATACAGAAAGATTACTGTTATACAGTAAGATACAGAAAGATTACTGTTATACAGTAAGATACAGAAAGATTACTGTTATACAGTAAGATACAGAAAGATTACTGTTATACAGTAAGATACAGAAAGATTACTGTTATACAGTAAGATACAGAAAGATTACTGTTATACAGTAAGATACAGAAAGATTACTGTTATACAGTAAGATACAGAAAGATTACTGTTATACAGTAAGATACAGAAAGATTACTGTTATACAGTAAGATACAGAAAGATTACTGTTATACAGTAAGATACAGAAAGATTACTGTTATACAGTAAGATAAGTATGTTTAAGAAAGTATGTTTATAGAATTGCTAAAACCTGGTATGAATAAACAGGTTAACAATGTACAAATGACACTTTCTGTTTAACTGCTATTTTTTATACATGTTGCGTATCTTTTTGACCTGTTCTTTTGGTGTTTCCTGTTTCTTTTGTATTATATGATGAACTTTTTAGAATGATTTCATTGTATTTTTGTAAATATATTGTTGGTTTGTACAAGAATAAACGTATTTTGTGTTGTTTTTTTTTAGCACCTTTTTAGGTATTTTAACAAATTTTAGATATTTAGTTTTGGCTGAAGATGGCTAATGTTAGTTGAAACATGTAAAGTTTTTTGTTAAATGGTTTTGGAGATTAGAAAATTTGTCTTGTTTATGAATATATATATATATATATATATATATATATATATATATATATATATATATATATATATATATATATATATATATATATATATATATATATATATGTATATATATATTTTATATATATATATACTTATATATTCTATATATATTATATTGTATATTTTATATATATGTATATATATTTTATATATATATATACTTCAGTCAGGTCAGGTTTATCCTACTACTGGTAACATGTAACCCAGTACAATCTGCTTCATGTCCTGCTGCCTTGTAGAATATGCCTTTTTAGGCAAAGGCTAGGAGATGAAAACTCCGACATAAAACACCCCCTGCCTTGGGGCTCTTGGTTGAGTAAAGACTAGAGATGGTGTCTCGATAAAAATACTCATCTTGGGTAGATGTTACATGCATCCGGCTGCTGTCTTGTAGAAGGCCTCCTAGGCAAAGACTTAAGGGGTAAACAGATTCTATCTGTTAACTAGCCTCGCACCTCTTCGTCATCTATTAGGCTGGCGCAGATTTATTTTTAATACATTGTTTCCAGTTTAGGATGTTGAACGCTGGATCTTCTTGACTCGATTCATGGGTTTTGCTTGCGTCTCTGTTTTTATGACTAGGCAACTCATTCTATTATCTCCAAATGAGGGTACAGCTCTAAAACTCAGTTTTATGGTTCTGAGGCCGGCTGGTAGTCAGGTTTCCGGAACTCTGTGGTAGCTCTCAGAGAGGCTGATTCCATCAACAGCTGAAAAATATCAGAGTACTAACAGTGCCATGTTGCGCATGGATGGTGTCCCTGTTTGTACTTTTGGTGTGCATTGCCAAGGCCATATTGGAGCCCTTTGTTACGGCTTAGAGTTTATTAGTGGAAATGAGGCAATTGCTTGAGCTATAGAACAGTGTACTGAGTACTATCAATGTTTCGAGTCGAGTTCTTTAACAAATTTAAAAATTAATAAAGTAACAAAAACTATAAAACACAAAAAACCACAGTCATCACCAAGTTTGCTAAACCTATCATTCACCAACATTCGTGGTCTTCAAAGGAACTTTTCTTCTGTTGAGTCTTATCTCTTGCAAAGTTCACCAGACCTGCTTGCTCTTTGTGAGACTAATTTGAGTTCAGCTGTCTCATCTTGTGATCTTAGTGTTGATGGTTATCTTCCTTTAATTCGTAAAGACTCCAATAGTCACATGCTTGGCCTGGGCATTTACATTCGTAAGAATTCACCCATTTTTCGGGAAACTAGGTTTGAATCCACAGGCTACTCTTTTATGTGCTTTCGTTTAGCACCACTTCACTCTATCACCTTTCTCTTTGTTTTATATCGCTCTCCCTCATCCCAAGACTGCTCTCTTTTTGATGTTATTTCTGATTATATTGACCAAGCCCTCATTCTTTATCCATCAGCCATATTGTTGTTGTTGGTGACTTTAATGTTCATCACACTGAATGGCTTGGCTCTAGTGTCAGTGACTCTGCAGGCATTAAGGCCCACAACTTTTGTCTTTCTTAATCCCTAACTCAAATAGTCAACTTTCTAACTCGCATTCCAGACAACCCGAATCATTTACCTTCTCTACTCGACTTATGTCTTGTTTCTGATCCTAGTCAGTGTTCAGTTTCTTCACACTCACCCTTATGTGCCTCCAATCATGGTTTGGTCTCTCTAAAACTGTTATCTCATTCTTCTTTACCATTAGAATCCCCCTATCATTGTACATCTTACAACTACCTTAAAGATGACTGGGACTCTTTTCGTGACTTTCTTCGTGATGGCCCCTGGGTAGAAATCTTTCGTCTCCCTGTTGACAAATGTGCTTCTTACATAACTTTGTGGATTCAGGCTGGCATGGAATCTTTTATTTCCTCTCGACGATTCCAGGTCAAGCCTCACTCTTCTTCATGGTTTTCCTCACATTGTGTTGCTGCAATTGCCAATCGAAACCATTACTTCTATATCTATCAGCAAAACAATTCTCCAGAAAACAGACATCTCTTTATTACTGCTAGGAACCATTGTAAAAAGGTTTTGTCTAACGCCAAAACCCGCTATTCTCAGATCATGAAATCTCGTATTTCATCACAAAAATTAGTCTCTTGTGACTTCTAGAGAATCTTTAATAGTATCAATAATAAGGGCAAGTCTGTAATTCCACCTCTTTTGTACGGTTCAGACTTTGTCACCTCACCTAAAAACAAAGCTGAATTGTTTGCCAAGAACTTTTCATCAATATCATCTCTTGATGCCACTAGTTGCGTTTTACCTGATATATCCGTCAAACAGGTTGATCCATTGCTCGACATTCGTATCACTCCAGCTTCTGTATCTAAAGTGATTTCCCGCTTAGACTCTTCTACAGCTTGCGGCCCGGACAACATACCTGTTATAGTCTTGCAGAAGTGTTCTCCTAGGCTGTCGTCTATCTTTTCAAAATTATTTAACAAATGCTTACCAGAGTCTTGTTTTCCAGCCTGCTGGAAAGCAGCATCTGTTTTCTCCCTATTTTTAAAAATTCTGGAGAGCGATCTGACTCATCTAACTACCGTCCCATTAGTCTTCTTCCTATCATAAGCAAGGTTTTTGAATCTTTAATTAACAAACACTTAATCTCTCATCTCGAATCTCATAACCTACTTTCTGATCATCAATATGGGTTTCGATCTTCTTGTTCTACGGCTGATTTGCTATCAGTAATAACCGATAGGTTTTATCGCGCATTAGATAAAGGTGGAGAGGTTAAGGCCATTGCTCTTGACATTTCTAAAGCGTTTGATAAAGTTTGGCATGCTGGTCTCCTCCATAAGCTTTCTTCTTATGGTGTATCTGGAAACATTTTTAAGATTATTGAATCCTTTGTTTCCAATCGTAGTATAAAAGTTGTCCTTGATGGACAGCACTCTTCTTCTTATTCTGTAACCTCAGGGGTTCCCCAAGGTTCAATCCTTGGCCCTATACTCTTTTTAATTTACATTAACGATCTTCCAGATATTCTCACATCTAAGGTGGCATTGTTTGCTGATGATACTACCATTTATTTTTGTCACGATAAGAAGCCAACTCCCTCTGATTGCTTGCAGGGGGCATCTGAGCTAGAAAAGGATCTCACTTCTGCTACAGCATGGGGCTCGCAGTGGCTGGTGAACTTTAATTTAGATATAATTCAAATGTTTTCGGCAAATCGTTATCGCAATAATTTAGACCTTTCTATATTTATGAACGGTAATGTACTTGATTAGTCTCATACCCTTCATCTTCTAGGATTAACTCTTACTTCTGATCTTTCTTGGAAACCTTATATCAAATCCGTTGCAAAATTAGCATCTGCTAAAGTTGCTTCTCTTTATCGAGCTCGTCACTTTCTTACTCTGGATTCTATTCCCTATCTCTATAAATCTCAAATCCGGCCTTGTATGGAATACTGTTGCCATATCTGGGGCGGATCTTCTAATGATGCCCTTTTAGACAAGGTGCAAAAATGCATTGTGAACATAGTTGGACCTGCTCTTGCAGCCAACCTTCAACCTCTGTCACTTTGTCATAATGTTGCTTCTCTTTCTCTTTTCTACAAATACTATAATGGGCACTGCTCTAAAGAGCTAGCGTCTCTTGTGCTATCTACTAAAATTCATTCTCGTGTTACTCGTCATTCAATTAAGTCTCATCCTTTTTCTGTTACTGTTCCTAAGTGCTCCAAAAACTCTTATTCGTCTAGTTTTTTTCCTCGAACATCAGTTCTTTGGAATTCGCTTCCTTCATCTTGCTTTCCTGATTCATATAATTTGCAATATTTTAAGTCGTCTGTCAATCGTTATCTTGCTCTACAATCTTCATCTTTTCTCTTTCAGTAACTTCCAACACTAATTAGTGGTTGCTTGCAACCTTGTTGGAAGCAAAGATAATTAAAAAAAAAAAAAAAAAAAAGATACAGAAAGATTACTGTTATACAGTAAGATACAGAAAGATTACTGTTATACAGTAATCTAAAATAATATACAGTAATCTATTTTACAGTAATCTTACTGTATAATAAAATTTATTCATATTAAATTGTTAAAATGATTTTGTGTATTTTAAAATTCAGTAGTTTTTTCTTAACCTGTAAAATGTCCAAGTTGGCTTTGTTTAAAATGTTAAAAATTAGTTTCATTTTTAAAACATATGTTATATTTTTAGAGCATATGTTTGGCTGTTTCACTTGCTTTATTGTACAGTTTTTTAGCAACATTTTTTTGGATGCTGGTTGAAGGAATTCATGTTTATCTCATGGTAGTTATAGTATTTAAAAGTACTAGAAGGTTGACAGTCTACATGATAATTGGATGGGGTAATGAAGTTTTTTATTTTATATGTTTAGTAAAAGAACTTTTTAATAGAAACATTTTTAGTTTTGTTTGTTTATTATCAGGTATCAATTTTTTACTTCTAAAGAATACAACTATTTATTTATAAAAGATATTTATGTATATTTATGTTTATGTATAAAAGAATTTATTACTTTAAATCTCATATTAGTCTCTGATTAAGTTTGATTTTGGGATACATACAGAATGGACTTACATATTGATTTGTTTGCAAATTCTATACTTGCATTGTCTAGCATCTTATTTTATTTTGGACTACTTCTATTATGTCTGTTACCAATTACTTATTTTAATATATCCTCCTGCTAAATAACTTTGATATTGTACTTCACTAGCATTCTTTTTATTATTCTAACAAAAAAGCTTTCAGTTTTTTTCATCTTACATTAACTGTTACTGACATTATCTTTCTGTTTAGTTTTTTTTAAATCTTAAAGTGTTTTTGCCCAAATAGGGAACTTAGTTTTATTTGTTTTATCTGTTATTATCTGCTTTATCTGTTATTATCTGCTTTGTTTATCTGGATTTTATTTTTTTTAGTTTTTAAGTCTCACTATATTTTAGTTTTTTAGTTTTTATAACCTTTTTCTATTATTTATAATAACTGTATTTATAATAACATTATAATAAATCTGAATGATTCAATAAGCCTTCAAAATGATATAAATAATATAATGGTATAGTCATCTATCTGACTCATAAAATTTAATTATAAAAAATGCAAAGTTATGCATATTGGGAAAAAAAACCCAAATGCTACATTTATAATGACTGATATGATTGCCATTAGAATTACACATTATGTAACACAGAAGTTGAACGTGGTTTAGGTAACACAGAAGTTGAACGTGGTTTAGGTATAAATGTTCAATTGGATCTAAAATGGCACTCGCAAGTTGTTTCAGTAACTAGCAAAGCAAACAAAATGTTAGGTATCATAAAGAGAACATTTAAATATTTAGATGTAAACATAGTAAAAAAGCCCTGTACAACATTCATATAACCACATATTGAGTTTTTTCGGTCCAGGCATGGTCTTAATTCCTACAACAAGACATAGACAAAATTGAGATGATCCAAAAAAGAGCAACTAAACTAGCACCTGCAATTAAAAAATTACCTTATGAAGCTAGGTTAAATATTATGTAATTAATGACACTAAAAGAACGTAGACTATGTGGAGATCTTATTCAACATTTTAGAATTCAACATGGCTATGATAAAATAAATTGGGTTACTAACAATTATCAAAATACATCAAAAGAAGGTCTGTATTTATGGCAACACAATTTCAAACTAAAAATACAATTTCAACACAATTTCAAACTAAATCAAGTTGTAAATGCATGGAACAACTTACCATCTGATATAATAGAAGCTGCTTCAATAAATAACTTCAAAAATAAACTAGTCAAATCTGAATTTTGCAGAAACTATTTGTTAAAACATAAATAAAAAAAAAACTGAGCTGTTACAGTGCAACATCTACTGTTATTGCACTTTATAACTGTTTACTCCAGTTGTTACAGCTATACCTATATATATATATATATATATATATATATATATATATATATATATATATATATATATATATATATATATATATATATATATATATATATATATATATATATATATATATATATATATATATATATATATATATATATATACATATATTATTACTATTATTATTATTATTATTATTATGTATATTACTATTTGAATCATTGCATATTTTGTTTTCCTATATCATCCTATTATTTCTTAATAGTATTAGTGCTTGTTTTATTGCAATAATGACTGCTATGGCGTAAACTACAAAAAGAAAGCAAGGAAACATCTCTGACAATTCTCCACAGCTACTTTTTATGAGACTTTCTGATGATCTTTGATGAATGTATTGTGGATTTAAGAATGGAGTTTCGCCTGCATTAATTCATTACATAATTCTTATTGGATCTTACAGCGCCAATTTTTTTTATTATACTTATGCTTTTATTGTTTCTATTTATAAATGTATATGCGTGTATGTACACGAGTGCAGAAATTTAGAATCCTAATGAGCTGTCAGAAAGTCTCTTTTTTAAAAAAAAGTAAAAATTATGATGCATGACTATTTGCCAATGGAGACAAATTTTTTGGTCAGATAAACCTGCTTTTGGCTTTAGATGTGCTCAAAAATTTTATGTTTGAAAGAATAATGAAAAGTATCACCTTGAGTGTATTAAAGCTTTTATTAAGTATCAATAGAAGCTATTGTTAAGTATCAATAGAAGCTATTGTTAAATATCAATAGAAGCTATTGTTAAGTATCAATAGAAGCTATTGTTAAGTATCAATAGAAGCTATTGTTAAGTATCAATAGAAGCTATTGTTAAGTATTAATGAAAGCTATTGTTAAGTATTAATAGAAGATATTGTTAAGTATCAATAAAAGCTATTGTTAAGTATCAATAGAAGCTATTGTTAAGTCTCAATAGAAGCTATTGTTAAGTATCAATAGAAGCTATTGTTAAGTATCAATAGAAGATAAAGATACGGAAATGTTTTGCCGCATGTGCTATTGAAAGGATTCACAAGATTAAAGGCATTATGGACCAATGCCATGGAATCCTTGTTCATAATGCAAAGCCCAGCATTATTACTAAATTACAAAATTAAAAAAATAATAAAATAAATAAAGTAGTTTAATAATAATGTTTGTTTTTTTAATTACATTCAAGAAGAATAGCTTAAAACCATTGTTACTAACAAGTTAATAGTGTTTTCAAGAATTGTTATGGTTTTAAATGGTTTTAAGCTGTTCCTCTAAAAAAAAAACTATTAATCTTATTAATCTAAGAATTTAAGCAGTCCTCTCAATAAAAAGTGGAAACTAATTTTGATATGTTTTTGATGTTGTTTTAAAAAAAAAGACTAAATCAAGATAATAAAACAACTTTGGCAACCATTATTTTATACTATATATGTTTGGTAATACTTTTGCATTTGTAAAAACGACATTAGGGTAAAAATTTCTCAAAAAACACAAAAAAACACAAATCTGCACCCTATATCACCAAAATTTTTAAAACTTGGCACAAATGTTTATAAACATATATTATAGAAACTAAAAATTTAGTGACTTTATTATCTTTTTCATTTTCATATGATATTTACAACAAAATTTAAACGTATACAATTTTTTTAAAATAAATACCAAACTTTAGTGATTTTATATATGCTTTACATTCACATTATTTACAAGTTGGTTCACAAAACATAATATTTAAAAAAAGAATGGATAAGACATAATAGACTCATAAATATAAAAATCTCTACTTCCTTAGGAAAATAATTTTTTTCAAGTCCTCTTTGGCTAAATAGTAGCAAAATCCTGTTTTTGTTATCGGTACCTCAACTTTGCAAATAATGTGGACATCAGGAATCAAGCATTGGCTTTCCATTGGTGGCCATTTAAACGACCATGCAGGACCATTAGGACACATAAATTTTACAAGCACATCTTTTTCTTCTAAATTAGTATCTTCAATGACTCCTATCCACCACTTTTGCTCATAGGAAACACAGGCATAATCACCTGGTACTAGGTTTACAGTTGTTATCTGGATATTCCAAAGTCATGAATTAAAGCAAATTCTTCATCAACACTGCATAGCTTAGTGCCTACCTAAATAAAATAGTAACATATGCAATTATTCCGTTTTACTTATCAAACATGTTTTATTAAATGTATAGATAGCAAATGCAGAGGAAATAAAATAAAATACAAATATTTTTGATAATGATTCTGCCAAAAACTAATATCTATTTGAGTTTATCAATAAAAGTTATGCGTGTATTTTAAAATATGGTAAAAGGTATAATAAAAAATAATAATTTACCTTTTGATGGCCAAGTGGTACAAACTGATGGTAACTACATGTTCCAGGTATTGTATTAACAGTATATAATCGTTCTTTAAGAGCAGTTCTCACCAAAGTTAAATCTTCTGATGAAATATATATGAAATTTATGCCTTCAATGTTTTCATCGCAATATTTGTACATTGTTTTTGGAGATAAAATATGATTATCCATATCTCTTTGCAAACTTGCTAGTGTTGCCAGACGTTTGATTGTACCACCTATCCCATCTCAAGGTTGCTTACTGTGACTAGTTGCAAAAAAGTTCCATTTAGCAGTAAAACCAAAATCTTCACAATGGAAACAAAGATTTAACATATTTTTGCAATTCTTATATTGACCTGCACACCCATCTGAAAAGTATTCAATATTTTTTATTTGAGGCAAGTTTGTTTTTATATCATTGCAAACAACTTTAATAATTTTATAAACCATGTTCATATCACGGATCATATCATCGGAAATAATACAATAGGATTTGTGCTTGAGAATGCCTTCTTTTTTGAAATAAATAATCACTGGATAAATTGTACATTGTAAATTTGTCCAATGAAAGCTTTGCACTTCATCCTGAACTGCAAATTTATAGTTTTCTGAAAAATCACCAAGAAATAATGCTGTTACCTCATTCATATCTTCCTTTCGTGATCTCAGGTATAATGCTTGGCTCTTTGCTAAATACGAATATGGTGCAAGTTTTTCCAGTTTTCTACATACTAGTTCAATGTATTTAAACACTGGCTCTTTATTATGTGTCAAGTTTGACCTATCTGTTGTTGTCCATTGATCAAATTCAATCTCATCATCATCATCTTCAAATTCTCCAAGTATATCATAAAGTTTTTCAACCAATGCATTCATAGTTGCTGAGCATTTTTCACATTTCCTCATCATACAGTCTTTATTAGTTATATCACAGACAATATAAGGTAACAATTCTTTGTATGTCACACCAAGAAGATGTAAAAGCAGTTTCAAATTCTGATGAATAGCACAGACAGAATGTGTTCTTGAGGCACCAACAGTGATACACCATTTAGGTCGCAAGGTGC